AACTGAGGTAGCAAACATGCTTTTAAATACTCAGCATCTTCATGTAAAATAACAAAAAATTATGAGATGCTAGCTGAACAAAACAATAGGAATATTAGTTCTTTACCACGGGATGTTTAAAAAGATGACCAAATACATTTAAAATTAATACGTTTTCTTTAAACTTGAGACTAGCATTTTTATAGTCCATTATGGGTATTTCTAACTTTATAAGACACTTAATGATAAAGACGATGACACACAGTTCAACTGAAAGACAGCAAACAAGGTTACTCATACACCATTTTAGTTGAGCATGAATCATGTTGGAAGTGCACCTACCACATTTTTTGATTTTAACACTGATAAATCATCTCATCAATTCACAGACAGATGTAAGGATATCACGTATCGCTTTATTTACGAAAATGCCATACACAAAATGATTTGTGACGCTTTCAGTAAAGCAGATGTGCTTTACTGCAGATATCTGAAGGTGTTTTTAGGTAAATAAGGACTGTGCACTCAGAAACCTAACTTTCAAGAATTTATTTAATATAATCAATGCAAAGGTAAACACAGAAGTCTGCCATTAACTTTAAGCATAGCTCTGTCTTCAAGAAGACATAAAATTCCTAAATCTATAACCTTTTTATTAGAATTCTGATGGAACTTCAATGCAAAATATGCACCTACTTTTTAAAATTTCTTTTAAAAAGCATATTTTAAATTAAAGGAAGTGTCTGAACACCATCTGGAAATTATCAAGCCATAAAAAAGTAGCAATAATCCATTGCCTCAACTCCTTTTTATCTTACCAAAGTTAAACAAGTGGTGGCAGCACTTCAGATGGCTTGCATAAAACATTCAAATTAGATATTAAAACTGAACAAGGGTGGTTGGTTCATTCTTTCTCTTTCACTCTCAAGGTGTACTGCTAATATGGAAATAGTAATGAGAGTGTAGCAACTCTCAAAAACATCAAATTCAAAAAGTTCCTAAATCACGGCTACTGTGCATCTCACTGCACTGATTTTGATGGATGGAATAAAAAATAACCCAAAATATGTGTACTAACAGGTCAGATTAAATACTTGACAAATACACTTCACACTGAAATCTGAAATAGAAAGAACCTGCATGTACGTTCCTTATAGCTACGCTTTCCCATTACTGACAGACTACAGAAATAATGGCACATATTATCACTGCAGTTGCAATAGTTCGGATGTATAGGAAAGGGCATGAGTTATTAACATTTCTGAAAAAAATTAACTTAAATTCCATGGCAAAAGACTTAGTAGCTTAACAGAAAGAACCCTAACAGAGTAGTTACCTCTGTGCAGACATTTCCTTAAACTAATACTAGAGTGAAAATATTCCTCAATCAGTCTTTAATAATAGCATGCCCCAAGGCCAGAAAAAAAGGTCAGGGATAATTGGCGCAACAGTAGTACTGGACACACATTTTAAACTGGTACCCTGTGATGAATGCCATCTAATACTGTTCTTTCTTATAGTTTCTCTCCAGCATTAGAAAACTTGCAAAAAGCAAGTATATTTTTGGAAGAGAAAGAAACATTTCTAGAAACTGATTTCTAATTATTATTTTATAGCCTCTATAAGCAAAGCAATCTACTGAAAGGACAATCGCTATACTTAAAATCCAGCACCTAGAGACAATAAAGATGCAGTAATAAGCGTAGGAGAGAAAAAATACACAGAAACTTTTTTTTTTTACCTTGAAATGTATTTCTTGTTATGTAGACTCAAGAGTACAATGAAATGAAAAACTAGGGGAGGAGAACAGGAATTTTTTATTTTTACTTCCATGACCTGGTAACAAAAAGATTTTTACTGGAAAAGTCTATAGTTATAATGCAACCCATTAAAGTGTAGCCTTTCATTTACAAGCTTAGCTAACAAAACCAATAGAATTAAACATATTTTAAATTAGTTTTACTTACCCAAACCTGCCTGTATATTTCACCAAAATTTTTTTGCCCAGCAGGAGAACTGCAGTAATGAGTCGTCCCCCCGCTGTGTAGGGATGCCTGTCTCAAGGAACAGAGCATCATTCCCTTCTGATTTCCACCTCTTACCCCCTCAATCTGTCTTTTACTCTTTTTTTGAAGACACGCCCATGTAAGCACAAACATATGTGACGAGGTACACGAGTGACCTCTGTAGAAAAGGCCAATTGAATAGGTCTGTCTGGTAGAACGACACTCCTCTGGGGTAGCTGTAGGCCTGTAGCAAATGGAGCTCTCTTACCCACATGAAATGATCCCTCCTAGGTCCCACACGCTCCCCTGAAGCTAGCAGGGAACACAGGTCATTGCAGGGGCTTTTCGTTCACAAAGTTGTGGAGTTTTTTCTTTTGAACCAAACTGGTCAAGAATGCCACTAGTAGTGATGCTATAGTTTGCTCTTTTGAGTTAAATTTACTCTGTGAAACCACTGAAGAAAACACAACAAAAGCCCAATTTTCATAGTCTACTGATTGTAACCACAGAGAGGGTTGTAACCTTCTACAGCTTTACTTTCACCCTGAGTAGATGCAAACAGAATAAGCAAGTTCACAACAAGATAGATCTAGAGCACTTATATGAAAACACACACAAATGAATTTACTGTATGGCTGAGCCTTTTCTGGGGGGCATTTTCTTGTTTGTGTTTTTTTAGTTTTGATTTTAGGCTTTCTGTAGGGGTTACCCGTTACCAATTAATTAATAAAACTGCAAAAAGTAAGCAGAAGTCTTTTTTCTTCTCACTAGATTTAAACTACCAACCACGACTGACACAAAAATTAAATCTGTGTCCAATGAAGCAGACAGTAACAATTTTTCTTCTCAGACCATGAAGACTACCAAGACAAGTTCAAAACTTCGCTGTACACGTCTAGATTTCTAAATAGTAATGCCTATTTTTTTTTTCTGTGCTTTGAGATTACATGCTGATTACAGAGAGAGTGCAGCAAGCCATCACAGAAAACTCCTGCATTGTGCACTGTGTAGAGACAGTACTCTATTGGCAACATGCTTGCCACCAATCACAACCACATGACTCAGCAAACCCAGAAATCCCCCAATGTCTTCTTTATACAGCTTTTATTTACTTTTTCTTTCTTCTGCTGAACCACAGGGGTCATGGAGTTACCCATTTACTAAAATTTCACTGGATGAAACTCTCCAGAACGCTCAGTCTATTGATCAAAAAACTGTCGTTGTCCCTTCCATTTTTTAAGGAGAGATATGGAAGTTCGTAAACATCGTCCCTGCTTTTTTAATGCTACAGTTCACTGCGTAGAGATGTTGTCTCCATATTTTTAAGTACCTTCTGGTTTGTAGGCAAGTTACTGATTAGATGTCATGCATATTCCTAAATCGTGAGAAAAATTACATAACAGTTGTTTTACTTGACTAACATTTATTGCCTCTTGTCTAAATTTTTAGCTAGCCCCTGAAAGCTTTACATAATCATCTTATCCACTTATTAGAAGACTTACAGTTGGCCAAAGCTTGGTAATGAATTACCTAGACCTTTTCTTACAGAACATTCCAAAAAGTCAATCAACACCTTAAATTTAAAAGCCAGACCCCACTAGAATATCAACTGACACAATGAAATTTCTAACACACAGAACTGACAGAAAAGAAATAAAACTGATTTTTAATTAACTTGGCCTCCTATTGTTGCAAAGCAACCACTGCTTTTGGACCTGGGTTCAGTCATCTCACTGGCTTTCCCAGCTGCAGCAGATTTTGTGCAATCTCCTCTGGTCCCTGGGAAGCTTTTCTTTGTCACCACGGGGTGACAAATCTCTCCTCAACCCACAACACAGAGAGGCCATCTCTCACCTTGCTATTTCTAAAGATATGGAAAAACCCACATTTTGATCAAGGAGTTCTTTCAGTTCTTATCTGAGACATAAAACAAGCTCTGAATTAAGAATGATACTGGAATTGTAGCAGAATCCATTTCTTAGTATGAAAAAATTATGTAACATTTTAATCTTTTTCACAAGATCAGGCATATGGCAAATTAAAAATAATTATATACCATCTTTGCTAGCTAGATTAAAAAGGGTAGTAGAATTTGCCTTCACTCTTCTTGTTTCTCTAAAAAAAATTATCAGCCAACATGAATCTAACCCTAGCTCATTGAGGATTACATGGATAAACACGGTTTGCTTATAAAACAAAACAACTCCATTTTGTCAAAACTTTAGCAGCACATACCTAACATAAGCTTTTGATTTTATGTCAAATAACTATAACTTTTTAACTGTAAATTTTTAAGATTATATTTTTTACTGTAAGACATGTTTTAAATGAAAAATTGCAAAATACAGTATACTACCATGAGCTCTGATGAAAAGTAAATGGACATTAAATGCAGTTCACGAACTGTATGCAACTGGTATACCATAAGCAGAAAAATGAATAGAACACTGCAGTTGCTTAGCCTTCTCAGATTCTCTCCAAAACAACTTTGCAGGAAGGAATAATTGTTCGAACTAAACACCTAAATCATACACAATTCAGTATAGTACTATTATGTTCCTCAAGAAAGTGAAGCTACTTTATTGTGATTCGATTTTATGACTACACATGCTATAACTTCCAACCAAACCAGAATGTATTTAAGACCAGTGCTTGAAAAGGACTATCAACTGTATGCCTGGTCTTACTGGTGTAAGAAGATAGCATTTTTCATAGCACCACTGACAAGAAATTAATTATACTTATGGTTTTAAAGATTAAGATAAATATACTTGCAGCAGTGTTTTAAATGTTATTTCAAACACAACAGGAACCCTTGTCATGTCTTAGAGCACATAGTTATCTGCAGATAGAGCGACAAGAATCCGTGATCACAAAGAGCATGCTGAGTTTTCACAGTAGCTCAATAACCAACAGTAGCTCAACGGTTTTCAGTGAAAACTGTTCGTAAATCTTTCCCAAAACAACTTTTTCCCACTCAGTTTTATAACTAACAGTTTTTAGAAGACATCTTACCTTGTACTCTTGGTGTTCGTTTCCTACGATCTCTGAACGCTGCCCCTGACTGCAAGGCCTCAAGCAGACTATCCATCACTCCTGTCTCATCACCCTCTGAGAAAAGGAGAAAAATAATATTAATCTCAGTGCAACTGAAATCAGACTTCAGAAAGAGAAGAAGTAAAAGTGTTGTCAAGTTTACATAACGCTTCCAAATAAGACACATATACATTTTAATGTAATGGATGCTGTCAGTGCTTCAGGTATCACTGTCTAGTTTGTGTATGATGCTCTATTAAGCAAATTGATGCCAATCCTACTGTTCTTTCAACTTAGAAATGTTATCTTGTGCATTATTGATATCTTCAGCATGCGGATAGACAGCTGCTGGTGAATGACTGCTGCTAAACTCTTTTAAAATGTTCCTGAAGTAAAAACAGGTCATCACCTTTTGATTTAATCAACGCATATGGAAAATCTGATGAAACTGAATGGCATAAACTTAAATACTGTAGTACTACAAGTATTTTATGCTGTCTTCATGGCACTAAATCCTTGCAAAAAAATAAATCTATACCACACGTGAGGATACATATGCCATATGCTACACATGTAACAGTATACCATGGATGATCTTCAGGTAAGAGTAACGAGGAGAGAATCATGCAGTGAAAGCAGGTGGCATAACATTTCTTTAAAGCTAGAATTCCAGTCCTGCTAAAACTCTCTCTTGCTTTTTTCATATCCAAGTTAACCTATAGCCTTTAAATTGCTGGACTACATATTGCATTATGGAAATCTGGGTAGAAAGATTACTTCCTTTTTATGTATTTAAGTCTTTTCACTTCCTTTGCATTTCAGTCTGTTAATAACAGTTGATAGCAACATTCAAACAGCATGAGAAATAGAGGTCAGACAACTGCAATGTTACAAAACTGTTGATGAATGCCTCTTTTTCTGTTCACATGTCTGTGTTATAACCCAAAACTAAAATACAGACTAGACTCAGCAGGTAGGTGGACATTTTATTCACATCTCTCAGACTTAAAGTTAATATAAATTTCCTCATCAGAGTGGGAAGATAATTACTTTATGCAAAAGATTTACGTTACAGTAAAGCACTTCTGACTCACACAAAGTGTAGGAGGTTAAATGCACATTCAAGCTCTCAAATGTTCAAATTTAAAAGCAGCTTATTAATGCAAAAGGTACTCTGCCCTGGTTCTCTATTACATTTAGATATATTAGACTAAATCCAGATCTGATAGAAGAGCACGCCAATCCTAAAACAGTACCTGGTTCAAATTTCCCCATCATGATCATCAGTGTAACTACTTGATAAATTTAAATTATACATCTTGATAAATTTAAATTATACATCAACGTAATTTAAACCATTATGTAGAATATACAACACATACATAAAGTTCTCTTCAGTGTGAGATGAAAGGAGCAGAGCAAGAGGCGCAACCAGCAGAAGACTGAAATACCACTTTTAATTACATTTCATACAAAACCCTTAAAAAACCGAGCTCCTGCAAAATAAGTAAATTAGCTTCTCTGAATATATACAAATATACAAGGCTAGAATCTTGTCTAAAGCATACAAAGCATACAACAATTTTTTTCTTTGGGTTCCTTATCCTACACATGCTTATTCATTGATTTATTGTTGGCTCTGTATTAAATTTATTTTCTAAATCAAAGGTCTGTGAAAACACTTTGTCCAAACTAATACACATCAAGTTGGTCTGAAACTTTTAATGAATGTGACTGCAATATATAGAATTAAAGTGTTAGAATATTTTAATATTTTATGTGTAAAAAAATTACAGTATTGTTTGATTTTCATTAAAAATGAGTTGGCAGAGTTTATTCAAAAAGACAAAAATCCTTCAATACTTCATAAATGTTTATGCAGCTTTCCACTTCATTTTTGCTGAGTGTGCTACTCTACTTGCTAATTACTGCAACTGCTAAAAAACATCCTATTTTTGGAATATCAAAATATACAGTATAAAGACAGATGAATTAAGGAAAGTGTAGACATAGCGATGAGATTTTTTTTTAGTTCTTCAGAGAAAAATTTTTACTAGGTTTGATCTCAGCACTGCATCTTAATGTCATCAGGTGATTAAGTGGTAACTGGACAAAGAACTGCATTTTCAGTTAGGCTTTATCAAAATTTATAAATAAAATTCAACAGAAATTTCAGCCTCTCCCCACAGTTCTTGCTGAGGTACTTCACATATTACCAGCTATCTCCTTGATTTTTTTTTTTTTTGCTTGTTTGTTTTACTACCAACTTGTAGACACAAATCAGAAACAAAGATTAACCCACGAGAAACTGAGAAACTTATTTCTAATAGAAAATACATAATCCTTATTTCCACTGGCAATTTATTTCCCTTTTAGATATCTTCCATTGTA